CGACAAACTTTAAGGAGTAGTAGGGGACATCAAAACAAGCATTTTTGTTTATATAAACATATATCCGCAAATGAGCCATTTGGGCTGTAGAGCAAAAAAACTGTTTTCATTCTTCGCAATAATTAAATCACTTTTTACTTATTTATTTTGCTTTATTAACAAATAAATTATGGTTTAGAATAATTGTTCAAAATGTTGACCATTTACTTCAATGCCAAGATTGCACCATCGGGTCATTGACTGAAAAGTTTAGTTTACGAAACACCTGTTCGTAATGAGGAAGATCTGTTAGCAAGGATACTGGCGAGTTGTACCCATATAGAAGCTATTCCCGGAATATTCCAAAAGGTCTGCGAGTTAATGACCCGATGGTGCAATCTTTGCATTGAAGTAAATGGTCAACATTTTAAACAATTATTGTAAACCATAATTGATTTGTTAATAAAGCAAAATTAATAAGTAAACAGTGATTTGATTATTGCGAAAAATGAAAACAATTTTTCTGCTCTACAGCCCAAATGGCTCATTTGCCGACATATGTTTATATAAACAAAAATGCTTGTTTTGATGTCCCTTACTACCCCTTAAAGTTTGTCGGTATCTTGTTGGGACACCCTGTATATACAGTGTGTATCAGCCAAATGGAATAAATTCGATAATAAATAAATGGGAAACTTTTCGAAAAAACGCTCGAACACGTCAATTTTGTTTTTTTGCTTGAGATTTTTTCACACCAATTTTTTTGTACAGGGTGTTCCGAAAACAGCTGTACCGTTATCAACTTCAGTTTTTTTAATAGTACCCCCTGTATATTATGACATTTCTGGATTCTGCGGAAACTTCTAGACATATTTTATGTACAATGTCATATACCTATCTTCAACTGTTTCGGAAATATTGACAGTTAAAAATTTACTTTTTTGCATCTTTGACAGACTCTAAAACCTAAACGGTTGATTTTACAGCAAAACCGATGTTACATTCCTATCCTAGTATCCTATCCAAGAATGTATGATCGGTTTTGCTGTAAAATTGACCGTTCAGGTTTTACAGTCTGCCAAATATGCAAAAAAGTTAATTTTCAAGTGTGGATATTTCCGAAACAGTTGAAGATAAGTATATAACATTGTAAATGAAATATGTCTAGAATTTTCCGCAGAATCTAGAAATGGCATAATATACAGAGGTACCATTAAAAAAACTAAAGTTGATAACGGTACAGCTGTTTTCGGAACACCCTGTATAAAAAAGTTGGCGTGAGAAAATCTCAAGCAAAAGAACAAAATTGACGTGTTCGAGCGTTTTTTCGAAAAGTGTCCTATTTATTTATTATCGAATTTATTCCATTTGGCTGATACACGACCAAGTCTTCTATGATAATGTTCTGTAGGTTAAATGGTTGAAGTTCAAGTGCTGCAAGTTTGGCCACTTTTGCCTGGGAGGGAGCAGATTTCTGCGGATGAAAGGAGAGCTAGGGCTGGTGTAACACATTTAATACCTCCTTTGGAAGGTATTCCAGCAATTCCGTCGAAAGTGGAGATGTTGAAATCCGCGTTATCAAAGATATATTGAGAAAATGTTTCACTTGGGATAGGCTGTTCAAGGTGGAAGATGGTGGAAAGCTCAAGTTACTGGGCGTCGTAATAAGAGGCACTTGATCCTAATGCCGAAAGAGGGGACACCAAGTTCTTTGGACTAAACTTTTTATACATGAACAAAGCAATGCTGGTGAGAATTGGGGATATGGAACATCGAGGCGAACAGCAGCAATCAGAGCATGAGCTATAGTATTAAATTTTTTATCAACTTTCAAGAGATTGGAGTATTTATTCTTCAACTCTACTATAGAAACTTTCTGCAGGTGGATTGGCACTATTGTCATAAGCCATAAGCTCAATATCATCAAAGATTATTTCAGCAGCTTTTCTTATGATTTTTTCATGTTCTGCATGTTCATCTTGACACCTTGAAGTATACCACATGTCGTTTAAGATTTTATCACCAGTAATACGAAAGCAGAAAACAGTTCTTTTGGTACGAGCCGAACTAAAAACAATGCGGTTCATATGCATATTTTCCATCATTTTCTGTTTAATAGTGTGGTGGTTCTCCCGTAATTTATTCCAATAACTGTTCCATAGAGAATTGACAATCATTATTCCCTTCTATGTAATTAATAATTATAGATTTATTCCATTGCTGGTGAAATTTCTTCATCCTGAGGGCATCCTCTTTTTCTTTTCGAAAGTGACTGCACTTTCATTTTATACAACATTGTCTTTTTATAACAATCCTCATGATATATTGCATCTGCTGCGTGTAAATCCGCGACATTGCAAATACGCCTTACTGTCCCACCACTGATTCTTTCTCTTCTGCTCACGAACGAAAATAGAATTATGAAACGTAGTCGTATGAACCTTAAAAACCAATCGTCGCGAATGATAAGGTTTTTTTATTTCCTTCTCATCATCGTATGCGTCTCTGCAGGAGAAACACTTGGATTTTGTAACGTTTTCAATTACTTTGGATTAAAAAGATGGTATTGCTTACGGCAGCTGTTCATCGGAAATCATTTCTGGTCGTGTTTAAGAGTGTGTTTACTGAAGGCGCCACGAAGTTTTCATTTATAAGGTCTCAAACTTCAAAATAGACCTCAAAATTGAATCTGAAATATTATGTATAAAAAGAAATAATACAGCAATACTCTCTACTTAATTATGTTTAATAAAATTTTAATGAAAAATTACAATATCTAGGATTTCAATTTAATGAGTATCATGAATGTAATAATAATTTTATTTAGACCCAGTACTACACTTAACTAATTACTATTGTGTGAAATAATAATAATGATCGATCATTTTATTTAATTTGAGACCCTTTCTACGAGTCTATCTGCCCTTAAAACTCATATGCTCAACCGGACAGCGAACTGAACTTAGAAATGAGTCATTCCATTTACTAGGCAATGCTCAATGAAAAATATACATCAAGTGACCTCGTTGGGTCTATCTGCTCTAAAAATTCATATGGTCAACCGAACAACGAACTGGACATAGAAATGAGTCATTCCATTTATTAGGTAATGCTCAATAAAAAAATATAATATAAAAAGTAAAATTTAAACGTAAAAAAACCTGTAGTCACTACTTCCAAGTCGAGGTGTCATCAAGGACGATAGGCACTATCCATCAGGGACCATGAAAGTGACCTCAGAAATAGAGGCACATGACGTTTAGGGAAGCATGCAGTCTTTATTGAATTGGACCAATACTAGGCCTAGATGTAGGAAATAGGACCCTATCAGAAATTAAATTACTGATTTCTCTTTTTATTTAAAGAAAGGTGAAATCGGCACTAAACTTGTCTACTTTAACAATAAGACACAAAAGTACATGACTCACCCTGAACAAGGGGCTCCTATACCATGATTTGGTACACAATACAGGCACTGGCATCATTGTAGATAAAAATAGGCTGGAGAAATAATTATAAACTTAAGGGATTTTCACGATATTAAAGGATTTGTCATCTGGCATGTTCCAATAAAATCACAAAAAAAGTGTCCGAGTGAAAGAATAAACTATCTATTTAATTAGCCATAAATGGCACTCCGAATCACAGAGAGAAATTTGGAGGATTCACCCCTTAAAGAGAGTTTCAAGAAAACTTAGCACGTTTGCCAAGAAACAGAAGAGCTCACTGACGTCGACTCGCCTAACCAAGTCGCCAAGAAAGAGTGGCCCGTCCTAAAGCAAGGCCGTATGCAATTCAAATAATTGCAGGATGAAGCTAGCCAAAAAAAGTGGCGTTAGCAGCCGGAAGGATTGGTATTATTCGACAGGATATAGAGCTGTGCGAAAATTATTAAATAGAGATGGTTTGGTGCCACCTAAATGGAAGTAGTACTTATATAAAAATCAGTTTCACTACTAATTGCAATCTAAACCTAAATTTAAATGGAAATAAGTATACTTGCTTTAAATGCATTACAATAATTAATATATTTACTGCAATACCGGTGATTACAATTAAAAATACCTAAAATATAATAAATTTACAAGCCTAAAATAATAATAAAATGACAAAGTAGCATAATTGCTACAATTTAAAGTCGAATTCCTTATGTGCTGAACGCGAAGACGGGACATCACGTGATGTAGAAGGTGGCTGAGAAAGAGTTTCTCTCAAAACTTTTTTAATTTTGTCACTTCTAATATATTCCTTTCTACAAGAATAGTGAACAACACCTCTTGTTTTACTTGTAAAAACTTCATCTTTTCCATATTTCCTTAACACGCTTGCCTTAAGTAATCCAATCATCCCTTTTGTGAGATAACTAGACAGATAAATACAACTGCGCACTGGCGACGGCAGACCACCTGACGCAAAATAAGGAGTGGGCCGGTTCTTCTAATTCTTTTAGAAGTAAATGTGAGGTTAGAATGATATTGTCTTATTTTTTTCTGATTAATGTATGGCTAGCTCTCCCAAACCGTATTTCTCACAATCCTTGTACCTACTATTCTATTGCGATTTTTTGAAATATATCTATTTTCTCGTCTCCATCTTCCTCTATTGTGAGAAAATATATACCTTAAATCTTTTTTCTAGGAAATTTTCCGTAGAATAATTTAGATCTCAAGTATTTTTTCGCTAGAAGCTCTGGTTTCCAAGTTATCCAAGAAAAACGTTAAAAAAGACCTTCAGAGACCCCCACCACCTTAGCTCGCCCCCCATTTATCAGGACCTTTAGTATGTTGTTCAGGACATCTTACCATACATCTATACCAAAATTGGCTTCTACACGAATTATTTCCTCTATTTGGCCTTTTTTGGTCTCCGTTGCCTGAACTAATAGGTGAAAACTCATCAATAATTAGCTGAAAAAACAACAACAGAACAATTCCACACCCAATTCTATGTAATGGATAATATGTATCTATATCTATACACTTTTTCTGAAAAAAAAAGGTTAAATAATAAATAAGTCAATTATATTTTTTAAATAAATAATTTTTATTTAAAAAAAACGATTACAATGGCCTTAGCTCGTAGAATACCTATTTATTAAATAATTCATAATAGAATTTAAATTTTGTCATCCAAGTTAATAATACCCCTGTTTTGCCTTTGTATTTGACTACAATTTTGTTTTGTTTTTCTTTTTTGTATACTTTAGAATGGCCCCGACAATATAAATATTCATGACAATGTATTTGTTTAGTTAGATTTTCTTAAAAAAAAAAAAAAACCAAACAAGAGAAAAATGTAATAATTTTTGTTTTCTATATTTCGTTGTATGATTTTATTTTCTTTGTAAATATGTATTCCAAATCACAGAATATTTTTTTACTAATTTAAAATAGAAAAAATATAAACTAACCCTTAAATAAAAAAAATTATTTATACAAAAATTACATGGTTTGCTGTTGTGTAGGTATTAATATTTTAATTTTTTTACATGTTGAATTAGGTACCAATTAATTTAAGTTTTGTAACAATGTTCAACTAAAATGAAGTACTTATGTACGATGATAAATAAATTTACATTTAACAATAACTAAGTAGAGCCATTTTAGAAAAATCCAAAGTATTTGGATATCGATTTTTAATTACTTTATTATCCTTTACCAATTTATTTTTTACTTGTTTTGTTTGCTTTTTATAATTTTTGTCATTCGTATTATTTGTCTTAATTTTTTGTAGAGTCCATTTATTATTTGGTTGTTTATATTCAGTTGGAGATTCTGTTGAAAAATTATCCTGGAATATTAAGGAATGCAAATATATAGCAAAACATAAAATATTTATTACTTACAGCATACAAAGTTATTGCGTATTTCTTTATTTTGTATCTGAGTTCGCTTTTAAGTTGCCATTCATGCAGATAGAGGTTTTGGTTGACTTTATTGTTTTTTTTCCTTAGCAAATTGTGCCATCTATAAAAAATATTATTCTTTGAAATCAGAAATCATTTTTCTCTTCTTACCTTGTCAGCATTTGAAACATTCTGGCTTTTTGTCCAATCTTTCTCAAATGTCGAAATACACCAATCACTGCATCTCTGTGACTTGGGCATATTCTAAGGGACAACCAATAAAACTTTATGCTCTCTAGGTGATTTCCTACAAAAAAAAAACAAAAACATAACGGCACTGAGGTTTTTTTTGTCTTTTCTACCTTTCTTGGACAGCCATTCTCCATATTTCGAAGCATAGAATGGATCTTCCGGATTAAGCTCTACCACCTTTCTTAAAAGTCCAGAAACGGTTCGGTGATAGGGTCCTCTTAACCGTGCTAGCTCCAAATAAGCTGGAGTGAATTGTGGTTCTAGCTCGATGCAGTTTCTAAGCATTAGTTCCGATTGGACTGTTTTGTTATTTTTCCTAAAGATAAATTATTTTTCTATGAGCGTGCGGAAAATCGATTTTCCCGCACGGTGCGGCAAATTTTTTTTCGCATGGATGTCGGTGCGGCAAAACATCTTCCGTACGGCTGTCAAATGTTTTTTACGCACTCGGCTGCTTCACCGAACTAGTGTTGCACGAGACAAGAGTTCTTGTGTTGAAAACCTGTTTTTTGTCTTGTCTTGCAAAAGTCTTGCATACTAAAGTCTAGTCTTGTCTTGCAAGACTCTTGAAATTTCTTGTCTTGCACAAATTTGTTAAGATTTTATATTGTAACAAAAAGGTGTTAAAATTTCTATATTTTATTTCATAGAAAGAATCTTCGTCGTACAGAAAAAGTGATTCGGAAATGAACGACGCTAGTTTCAGCAAAAAAATTCTTAACGGACCGCAAACGAACTACGTCAACTCTCGCCCGTTTAGCGAAACAGGAGCCTCAATTTTATTTTATTTCATTCTCAACTCTGAAGCACTGGCAATGATGCAAATAAAAGTGAACACTGGTCAGTATTAAGTTGCGCAAAGATTTAATTATCACTTTTAAAAATTCATCATTTCTAACTTGCAATAAATCTTGAATTCAAGAAATCTTGCAAGACTCTTGCAATTTCTTGCATATTAAAGTCTTTTTTTGAATTTTGAATTTTGAAAGTCTTGTCTTGAATTTCTTGCAAGAATCTTGGTCATTTTCAAGAGTCTTGCGCAACACTACACCGAACTCCGCTATGCGTCGTTCGTTGAACGGCAGACTTTGGTCGGTAAATAGCTATTATTTCTTATGTACCTACATACTTTACTATACTAACGTCATTCTTACCTGTAAAGTTGTCCGAGATTAAAATAGGCATTAACATGGTTTGAGGCGTATTTAATGGCAGCTAAAAAATGCTTCTCTGCTTCATATTTATTGTTCAAAATAGTTCCTAGGTTATTGTGTGCGCTTGCGTATGTAGGCCATAACCTGAAAAAAAAAAAATTTTTTTTGGCCTTCTAAAATTTCTTTGAGAAAAATTCAATTTTAGTCAAAGCCATTAAAAGTGGCGAAAATTTTTTCACTTCTAAAAAGATTTGGGGAAAATTTCGAATTTTGGTCCGAAATCATTCAAATCAGAAGGGATAAAGAGTGTTCTAGAAAAATTTGTGAAACATTTTTCGAAATGCTGCCTTTATGCTGTCAAAATTTTCAGCAATTTGGCTTATCAGCTTCGCTGAAACCATTGCAGTCCCCAGGTGGCGTATAGGGGAATGCCTCCCAGATATGGGTATGCCTCCTAGATAAGGGTGGTAGGAAGGAAATGAAAGACCTCCTGCGGACCAACAGAAAACGACGTCTGATCCAAAATGAGCGACCGCAAACAGTGTCTGTTCCTCATGTTAGAGGCGGCTGAAGTTCTCACTCACCAAAACGTTTTGCCAATATGATTTTTCATGTAAAAACCCCTCTCAAATGACAAAGGAAGGAAGGAAGGATCATCTTAGTCTTCAGCAGTTCGGTCAGCTCTGACCAAGGCAACCGAACAGAGGGTGCTGAGATTCTCTGGAGTGGAACAACTATACGTCGCAACATGTAGTATGTGAAATGCTACTGTTAGTATTTGTTCCTTTTTTCTTTCAATTATAATATAAAGTTATATTATTACCTTCAATGTTGACAGTCTGGTGACTAGCATTAAAAAAAAAGGTTTCTGCTGCTAATGATATTAGCAATTATTAGGCTAGGGGGCACGATTTTCGTTTAATTTTGAAGTACTAGTTTAGTAACAACACTTTTCGTTGGCTATTTTTTGGAAGGAAGCTCTGCCTGTAGGGATTATCCGTTTCTTCGCCCCTTTTTAATCTTTCCGTTGCCCTGAAAGGTCGACTCTAGCCGGGGGGCAGCCATCCTCCTTAACTGTGATTACCGTTCTCGTGGAAAAAGTACCTTATCGGTCATGAGGCACTATTTTAACAAAATAAAGTTGCGTAAGGCAATAATCCATCAATTACCGAAATAGTATATATTGTACTAGGAGAAGAAGCTTTACTTTTATGTGCTGAAGCGGTAGGTTTGTGAGCCGAACGTAGTGAGGCTTGCAATACTGCTGAAGCACAAAAAAGTGCTTCTATTCCGTATGCAACACGCTATTTTTTCTCCAAACGAATGGGGTAAACCCGGGGGCAAGTGAATGGTTGAGCGGCAGTAAAAGTACGAGCGGCATTAAATTTCTACCACCTTGACAGGTTTTTACCCGCTGGATTTGCCTAGCAGCATAGATATCAAATTTCTGACATCTTGACAGGGGTTAACAAAGTGACGTTTTTTTGACGTCTGGAGAAAAAATTTATTGTCGAAAGTCTTGTGATTAACGCTTTATTTGGGTTTGAATTTCGAACCCCCTCGTGGTAAGTTCTTTTTTTTTAGGTAATGGCCTCCGGGAAGCCGGTTTTTTCGTGGAGCGTTTTTCCGAGGAACCATTTTTCTCAAGGGATCCATTTTCAATAAGCCCACATCTCTGGGCATAGAGCTCTTGAAATGATTTTCTAGAAGAATCACGTATCGATACGTGTACCCCCACATTTGACGAAGGAAACTGAACTTCTAGCCTTGATTCCAGGCTAGAATCTGCAACTTCCATCTGCAACTTCCCTCGTCAAGGTGACCAAAAAAGGATGGCTACCGACTACCGTACTCTACCCTTTTGTTGGAATTGAGGCTTCTATAGAGTTTCAATTATAACTATTATTACCTTTTCTATGGAATCTATTTTATGATCAATTATCATAATTGATTGAATTTTTACCGACACTACATTTAAATATTTAAAATTTCCATTTCATTCATTATATTCTTGACACCGAAGTGAAATTTAAATAATTATTTCCGATTTTCGATTAACCGAATTAATTATAGATTTACCTTTACTTAACTTTTAATATGCTTATTCGCTGAGCAAACTGGACATATTATGGGCCTCTTGTTAATTCATCAACAAAAGGGGCTACAAACATACAATGCAAGGACCTTGAAAATTAAAAGAACTAAATTACGAACTCGATAGAATAAATTGGGACATAGTAGGACTGGCAGAGGTCAGAAGAAAAGGAGAAGAATGTCTGAGACTTAAATCAAATCACGTCCTATTCTACAAAGGTAATTAAAATAGCGGTAATGGAGGAGTTGGAATCCTGATAGACAAACGAATGGTCCAATACCTACAAATACTCAAGAGCAAATCTGACAAGATAATATACATTACATTGAAAATCAACAAGGATACAACAAATTCATCCAAATTATGCACCGACAAGCGACCACGAGGACCAAGAGGTAGAGAAATTTTTTGAAGAGGTAACACATTTTCTGCATGAGAAGAAAACAAAGTATACACTACTCAGGGGACATATAGTGTGAAAATAGGCCAGGATGTCACCGACTCGTGTTACATTGGCATATTCGGACATCGTTCAAGAAATGAAGGCAACATGCCAATAGACTTTTTAGAAAGAGAGCAACTCTTTGCGATGGAGACATTTTCCAAAAAGAGATCTAACATAAAATGGGTAAGACCGAATGGAAAAACCAAAAAACGAAATAGACTTTATACTGACACATTAAAATCCAATAGGTAGATGTCTTAGGCTCATTCATGAATAACAGCGATCATAGAATGGTAAAATACCCATAAATGGCAGACTAGAAAGAGCAAAGGTATTCAATTGCCCCCAAAAGAAATTAAGTACACATACCAGTAAAACACAAAAAACAGAATTTGCAACAAAATTAGCACAAAAACTAGAGAAAGATCCCATAAAACCCCACGAAGACATAAATCAAATTAATAAAAACTAACGAAAACAATAAAAAAAAACAGCGAAAATAGGCAAAGAAACAAAAAAAAATTCTGGATAAGAGAATAGAACTCATAAAACAAGTAAAAGAAGATACATCAGATTATAAGACGCAAAAAGCAACAACGGAAATAACAAACAAGAAATCTGAAATTCTAAATGTCGGGTCCGAAGAGATACCTGATAATAAAAAAGGAAGGAATTGCGAAAGCGCTAAGCCAATCAAACAACAGGAATAGACGATATACTAACAGAAATGCTGGAGGAGACAGGAAAATACCTTCTAAAACAACTGGATACTCTTTTCAATAAATGTCTAACAGAGGGGAAAATTAGCCCTTCAGATGATATGAAAGGGGGTTGTTTAAATTTCAACACCCTGTATTTTGGAAACGACGCATTTCCGACTATCGGTGTCCTATCTCAAACTACTTCTCTATGGTTCCTCTATATACGCTAGCATTTTGGACCAGTTGAACGGGGACACCCTGTACAGACGCATAAGCCTCTTGTTTCAGATATACAATCTCTTTATGAGAATAATCACCAACCGCCTGGAAAGTAAATTCGATAATTATTAACCTACAACAAGCAGGCTATATATAGAAAGACATATAGCACTATAGAACATCTTGAAGCAATAAGAATACTAAATGAAAAGACGACCAAATATAACATTACAACATGGCTTTTAGAAAATCCTTCGACGCTGTCGAATTCTCGGCGATAGAAAGAGCTAAGAAATGCACGAACGCATGAAGATACAAACGAAGTGAAAATCAAAAGGGTCCGTAAGTCAAGGCGATATAATATCATCTCAGCTGTGGACCCTAGTCCTCGAAGATGTATTCAAGGAACTACATTAGGAAAATAGAGGGAAATTTAAGATTCGCTGATGACATTGTAATATAATATACAACTAAGTAAACATAAGCCAGTAATATTTAGCGTAGTAACAGGATAAAAGTACATATACATTTATTAACACTAGGTCATGAGAGCGCTTCGCGCGCTTTTTTTTTTAAATCAAGTCCATCAAAATAATTATAAAATGGAAAATATTTATTAGGTGTTGTACAAAAAACAGCATAATTTTTGATTTAAATGTACATTATACATTAAATGTAACAGTGAGATAAGTTGTATAGATGTTATTTTAGTGAAGAAATTTCAAATGCGATGGATGGAGTTGGTGACTAATTATTTTTGTATGGTAATGATTTTAAATCGATCACATTTCTTGAATATACGGTGTGCGTATGTCTACTTATCTCATTCTGTTTTATGGAACTCGTAGGTATACATTTTTCGAAGTGGTTTAATTAAAACAGAATAATCATAACCATAATCTAGGTGTTATTATAAACCGAGTTATTAACTATTTATGTGCTGTGGTATATATAATACGAGATATCGAGTCTTAAATTTTTTTTTACATTTTCATGAAGTTCCTTTTTTTTTATTAGGCCAGTTATTAAAGTCTACCCGATCAACATTTTACTGCAAACAATCGAAAAAATTTTTTTTTTTAAAGATATGCAATTCAATTGCTCAATTATTCAACTTACATTTTTTGTTTGTACCTACGTGGTAGACATAAATTTGGAATGTAATCAAAGTAGTTGGTGAATTATTACTTTTGCGGTACATCGTAATGACTTTAAATCGATCTTATTTTTTGAATATACGGTGTGCATATGTCCAATGCATCTTATTCTGTCTTATGGAACTCGTAAGAATCCAAAGTTTAAAGAGTGCTAAGTCTTCATGTCGTTCTTCATTTTTTTCAATCATTTATGTTTATCGTGTTCAGGTGTTTGTCTTGTGATCTTCAAATATCTTGTAAATAAGTTGTAAAGATCTTCTGAAATCACCTATGACTGCAAAATTTCAAAATTAAATTATCAAAAAAACATATCTTTAAAAACATGGTTTTTGACAACAAAGAAGCAATAGTTTCTTTGTTTACCTGAATAAACTTTCAATGAGTCCCACGAACGAACTCTGAAATGCGCCACATAAAGTTGTCCGTGACTATATACATCCTTTCTGGAGATCAATTACTATCCTATCAAATGTTTGTCCTTGAGATTTGTTAATCGTCATTCATTGCAAAGGCTAATTTTATTTTAA